TCGGGAGCACCAGGCAGTTTTGTGCGTGCAGGCTGGCACCGAGAGGAGACCTAATACCTGAATACTTGCCTGGCACGGGATGTCAGCAGCCATAATGCTGGTTTTGTTCAAGGCCTGCACTCTCTCACCAAAGCTGATCCCTCTGTCACCACTTACTACAACCCACTCCATCAGGGCAATACTCCAACATGTGTTTGTGTTTTGAAGCGCAAGAGGCACTATTCTGAGTGAGTCAGGGCCACTGAGACCTATGGCTCTTAAATCCTCAAGCCAAAGTCTCCTGCAACTTTAAGAGCCCCTGAGAACTCTGCAAGAACACAGAGCTTTCTTTGTCCCAGTCCCCGCTGCTGACATAAAGAGCAGTAGCACGTCCACTGCGCAAACAAGTGGGAAAGCACAGATGGGGCCGTGTCACCAGCCTCCCCCACTACCCGGGTAAGCAATGCTGGGCAGGGAGAAGGGCTCAGCTCTCCCCCATCAGGGTACAGCCATCATCCACCCTGCCTGAGAACAGCTGCTCACACGCTTGAGAAGAACAGATAACTGATGTCAACATCATCCACCCGAGTGCAAAACAGCAACTGTACTCCATAATTCCACTTTCAAGACCAACAGCCTCCAGGATCCTTCGGTGCCAGAAAGGCCTAGGGCTCCCAAGTTAACACACATAACCACAACAGAATGGATCAACAGAAGGCTTAATACAGTGTTAGTGCAGTGCAATTTTAAAAATGTGATTAAACAGGCAAAACTGATTCTACAACTTGTGGAGTCATTGTCTTTAAAGAGATGATACAGTTTAGGATAGAAAACACAAAGTTACCTACAGCTCTAAAGTAATGATAGCTACTTCAGGTGGTGTGAGACAGCAGGAGGCAAAGATTTGGCTTATTTGGACCAACACTGAAGTAAAGGGTAATTTTCCTTTGTTAACTGAGGTTTCCCTACTGTAATTTCAAGGACCTTTTAAACCAAAATTTCAAGTGGAAACTCATTTTAATGTACAAAGTAAATCCAAAGTGAAATGACATCATTATAGTTGTCTCTTGCTGTAAGGCAGCAGGACTTTGAAGCAGCTGATCCACATGCACAGCAGTCCCATTTCATAAAGCACCCATGGTCTCTAGAGTGCTTTTACTCCAGTGTGTGCCAGAGCTTTCCTATGTATTACACACTCACCATTTGGCTCTGCAATGCAGCTAACCAAGCACAGCGCTGCAGAGCTACTCAAGCTTGAAACAAAAAGGTTTTGGGCCTTGATCAGTACAAGTTTCTATTTTGAAAGTGAACCAAGTAATTTCCTTCTGTGTGCTCTCGCTAGCTAACCCACATCATCTACAATAATGAAACACCTACCTCAACCGGATTTAAAAGAATTAGTTCCCCATCTCTCAAGTCAGCAATGATTAACTGTATCTTGTGTTCTGTCACAAGATGTTTCTAAAGATATCTGCCCTACATGGGGCAGTTCCTGTGAAAATAAACAGCTTACAACACAAACTTAACTAATTTTTGTAAAGACTGCAATAAACAGTATCTATTAAGGAGAAATGGGGCTGCAGATAAAAGTCAAATGTCAGAAACACAAACAACTAATTTGAAAAAAAAAGCTTTAAATCCCTATAAAGACATGAAGGAAGGAAAATGAAGACCAGAATCTATGGTGTAACTCACCAAACTTTTTATCTAGATGGTATTAATATACCAACTATATATACACACACAACTCATGTATATTGAATAATATGAACACCACAAACTCACCTAAAGGTATAAGAGCTTTCAAACCTCATCTTGCACATTTTGGTGAGGCTTTTCTGCTTATCACACAAGTAATACCTATGCCAGCCTTGTCCCCAGCACTACTGAGCTTCTAGCAGAGTGGCAGAGGCTGCTCTGGTTCCACAGTACTGCTAGGATAGTGTCCCACTGCAGCTGAAAAAATGGGCATAATTAAACCTCCACCACACTCAGCCTCCTAACCAAGGCTGCCCTGGAGTTAACCATGTGCATGCATGCATGCAAATAAAATACCAAATTCAAATCTACGTAATTGTCAGCTTGCACGAAAAGGAACATTTTCGTAACTCCCCAGCAGCTGATGATATTCAGAATAGGCCATGACTGGATTTAACACAGAAACAACAAAATAAATACATCCTTTGCCCACTTCCTTTTTCTTTTTTTCCCCCCTTTTTTTTTTTTTTGACAGTGAGGAGGGGAAGGGAATTGTCTAATCTCTGCTAAACCAGCCTGGAAGACAAGAGACCCACATGCCTATTCCTTTCCAGAAAGATCAACTTTAGTCAGCGGAAAACAACCCAGTTCAAAAGCTATTCTAAAATACGCCATAAAGTTCTCGCCTTGCAGCTCTTCCCTCCCTCCATAGCACGAGTACCCGTAGGTGATTCAGCACAGCAAATGACAGCATGCCACGTGAGTTCATTTCTCAGCAGACTGCCTGCTCACATCACACAAGGAAGCAAGTGCTTTCAGACTGCTGGTAAGAGGAGAGTCAGATCTTTTTCGTCTCAACAGTTTCTAGATTAAGATATTTACAGTGTTAGCCATGTTACAGTTATATGTGCCCTGTCAGGCAGGCATGAAAAAAGAAGATATAACACAGCTTCTAATTACAGACACAGGGTTTAGGCTAGATGTAATGATGCAGAAGGTTCAAACTACTCCCCGTTTCCAAAAAGAAAAAAAAAAATTATATAACAGTCTCAACAATGCATCTTAATGAACAGGTCTGGGCAGCAGATCAGATCCAGCCCATGGGATCACCAATCACTTTCAGATTTCCAAGGACCTGATGTGAACTTGATCTAAACCTGTATCTTCATTAGCAGAATGTTTATTTTGTGATCTCAACTCAAAGGTCAATATTCCAATCTAAGCTTCAGGAAAGCTCTCAATGGGAATACATCTGATGATGTCTGTGACTCGATATTCCCTATCATACCCTCTGTACTAAGTGGTATTTAGGAATTAGGGCATTTATGGAGATGAGTTTCACAAAACTTCATAAAACTTAATGCAAAACTGCAAATTACCAACAGCATTCACACTTTACCTGGAGAATTAATGTATTAAGGAAGACAGCAAAACAAGATAGCATGCAGCACTTACGATTTTATTGCACTCATTTTTGTACACACTATCAGTTATTTCCACACTACTTTATTTACACAGAATCCAGATTCAGCTACTTTAATCATTCACTACTACTTAAATAATATTATCAGTGAATTGGCTGCTTTATCAGTTAAACTGGTAACCAGGATATCAGGGAACTCAAGCTTTTATCAATATTAACTCTGAGATGAAAGCCAGTTGCAAACAGATTGCACTACAGGTTAACCATCCTTGCTGATTCTCTTGTCTGCATCTGTCCACATCATTACAGAGCGGTTCTCATGCCATGTGCTCCATCCCTCCCAACACCTCTGCCTCACCAGCTGGGAGTAAGCACGACCAAATCAGGCCAAGTGAGCTGGTGGGATTCATAATGGGAGTACACTGCTCCCCTCTAGCCCCAGCACAAAGCCAATAACCTTTAAACAGACATCAGGAATTACCAGCTTTGGGAAAAATTCGTAGCATCTATCACGTATCACTGTTTGAATCTGCTGTGGTGTTTTTTGGTTGTTTTTTTAAATTATGAGCAATATACAGCAGCAATTATGAAAAAGTACCATTCTCTTCTAAAACATGCACCACTTCACACAGTTTGTAGAAAAGTTATTATAAAACACAGCAGCTGAGCACCTGTAGCTAGCTTATATGGTGTCCTAATGAATGACACCATTTGTTCTCTCAGGCACCAATGCAATTCGCATAAAAATATGTAAACATTTATACACTCCCAACACAAGAAGTTAATATTGCATTCAATATGCACTGCAAGTACAGAAAATGACCAGTGAAATGCTTAGTTACTATCCCTCCCTCATCCCATATTAAAAGTTTACCAGAAAGTTATGAAAGGTATGTGCTGCAGAGCTGATTTCCGATTTCTAAATTTAATCCTCTCCTTTTCCCATGTCCCCTCCCATGACTATACAGCTGTCAGTGACGTTTGCTGCCCAGATAACGCCAACAGACCCAGTCAGCCACAAACGATCGCCCGCTTCAGCTTAGCCTGCGCCACTGCCCTCTTCTGCCTCGTCTCAAGAGAGTTTCTGTGCAACGGCACCACAATACCGTTCTAGTAAAACAAACCTCATGTAAACACCGATATTTTTTGCTCTGAGCATTAAGCACCATTCAAGTTTTAGGCTTTGAATGATGTAATGAATGTTGTAGAGACCCTTTTCACACCCAGCTTATTCTGAGACCAGTTCTTCCTCCAGCTAATTCCATGCAATTCCCAATTCTAAAGTTGTACAGCATTCAACTAGAATCCTTTACTAGTTCTTCCTCTCCTCCACCAAAAAGGTAAAATCACCAACTCGCACTGCATCTAGACCAGCAAGCTCTGCACTGCCAAGATCCAGTTAAATACCTCTACACATCTAAGGTAAAGAGAGAAGACTGAGTTTGCTTGCCTACACTTCCAATCACAAGCATTAGTTATCTATCCCCAGAAATCAATTTAGTTTCATGCCTGAAACACCTTTGATAAGATTTCTATTGGGCTTTTGCTTTCTGAAAAGCTCTTGTAAATATTTTTGTCCATCAGTGTATTTTGTTTCCAGCTCTGACAGTCCTGACAGTTATTTCCTCCTCTCAATAGTCCTTATACTTGCAATGATTACATACGAACACCAGATTTAAATAGCTACATTAAAAACTTCACCTTTGAGACAGAGAAGCCACTGAAATAAAAGACAGAAAGCAGTAACAATGTTTGCAGACTGTCTCAGTGACACAATTGTGCACACACACAAATGTCCCTCTCCCTATCTAACAGTAAGCCAAGCCTAAAAGATTACACATTTGTTTCCAGCATTACAACAGTCTTGCCTTGTTCACGGCAGTGAACAGTTCCTACTTACATATCCCAACAATAACAGATGACGTGTGTTCCAGTTGCAAGTAGAAGAGAAGATTGTAAAAATTGAAACCGATCAGAGAGAAGCATAAGATGACAGAGATCCATTCTTGTAGTCTCTTTCCTGTCAGAAAAAAAAGCAAAAAAACCCGTTTTACTTCTACCTGAGAAGACATTTTGAAGTCTGAAATACAGACAGACTATTCTACTGCCTGGATGAGTCATTCTACTTGTCTAACAGTTAACTGAAACAGAAACTTATTTATCCACAGGAGGTGTGCATGTTTAGTTAAATGGCATTCCTCCTCCACTACTAACCCCTTCCCTCTGCCCTTACTGAAATAACAGGGACAAATCAGACATCATCTCACATTGTCCCAGTTTCCTTTCCCCTCCGGTTGCTGGCATAACATTCCTTCACATCACATCATTTTTTTTTTTAAATTTGCACTTCATTCAATATTCAGTGTTGCCGGTATGGCTCAATCTGGGAACAAATTTCTGGCCTCAGATGACTGGTAGTTAAATCACCTTATGATCTGTAATATTCAAAATCTCAGAGCTTGTAATAAGGCTGTTATACTAACAGGGAAAAGCACCATCCGGTATTTTGGTGGCCCTAGAACTACTTTCCTGTACTGCAAGTATACTTAAGCTTGCTTATTTAACTCCTGCAGTCTTGCCTTTGCCCTCCTGCTCGCAGGCAGAAGGCTACAACCTCTCAGCCATTCTGAGATGACAGGAGACAGAATAAGCAACGAGAAAGAACTGGCACAAATTCTCTCTCGTACTTTGCTGTACTAAATCATACCACTACAGAAACCTCATTTATTGCCTATAAAAAGAGAACAGACACATCAGAGTATAGTAACACTTTGAATATTCAGATTAGCAGTAGAAAGCTTCTGCCTGTCAATCACTGCTGCACCCTTCTCCAGGCACTGATGCAGAGAACAAGAGAACACTCGATGTGAGACCTGGAGGGATTAAGGCATCAGCATTAATTTAATGCCTGAATCCAAGAAGACCTGAGCTGCCACCTTGGCCCAGAAGGGCCCTGGCTGTAGTTAGCTCTTAACATGCTCAGGAGCAGACAGGTCAGTCTTCACCAATTTTAGGGGGCCAGTCAGCACAGCTGTCTCTTGCCTAGGGCTTCCCAGAGCAGTTAACCCTGCAGCCCACTCCACACTCCCTCCTGCAGCCTTACATGCTTTGCACCACTTGAGTCTGAGGCAAAGCAACCTGCAGGGGAACGACTGGTAAGGACTTCACTCGAGGCACACATCCTCTCACAGCAGCAGAGGCAACACTCACGCGTCTGGCATGTGTTCAGGACAACAACTTCTTTCCTACTACTCCTCTATGTTGACCTACTGTCTGATCAAATATCTCCTCCTAAATGCTAAATCAAGTCCTTTCCAACTATACTATGAAATGAAAAGGAAACTAGGAACATCAAAGGAGAATCGCTATTATCTCTAACATGCCTACAATGTAATATTTTAAAGAAGCATTAACAAAGACTTTTACAGTTCAGAGTTTTGTTCCAGAAAGGCCTTGAGTATATAAATCAACATCCTCTGCAGTAGCAGAGAAGAGAATCATAAAATTCAATTAAGACACAAGAACAAGCATATTTCTCAAGACTGCATCAGGTCACAATGCAGGAGATTCTATAAAGAGATCCCTGGAGTAATGAAAGCAAGAGTTAATTAACACTCACTTCCTGAATAAGAAAACCACACCCTGATTAGAGGAGCTAAGTGGGTAGATCCTCATGGAACAATTAGCTGACTGCAGGGAAACCCGAGACTCCTTACTAGCAAGTCCCGTGAGTTCAGTCTATGCAAACACCACTGTACTCTGAATACAGGGATCCCAACACGACTGTCTGGTGATACCCGAGTCCAGAAACACGGCCCAGCTCTGGAAAGACCGGGAAGCAAATCAGACAAAGTTGTGGAGTCAGCACCAATAACTTGGGCTTAAAGAGCACTCAAATTTAAAAGTACGTCCTGCATGGAGTAATAAGGTGCCAAAGCCACAAAGTATATGCTTAAAGAAATCATGGAAATATTCCAGTGTCATATGCACTCTGCACAGTTATATGTAATCGCCATTCTAATAATTCAGTAGTTCAATACCATGTGCTTCCACTGCTAACACATGTTCTGACGTTGTTTATGCAAGTTATTTATGTAACACCAGAAAAAAATTGCACCTCCTAATATCACAACTCACTGCCGATAGATACCACTATGCATACACTACTTCGGACTTCCCAGGAACTTCCATCTACAGCTAAAAACAAGGGTAGCAAGTTGTTTGGGGAAGAAAATCTTTTCCTTATGAGTAAGAGCACAGTGCAGTAGTAAAGTTAGTTACTGCTTTTCTGCAAAGCACAGGAATCAGTCACTGCCTGGATCAGAAGTGCCTATCTAGACCAGCTGAAAGACGTCACACACCACCTTATCTCAAGGCAAGGAAGAGGTGACCGATACAAGCTGAAACAGGCAGACTTACCCTGAACAGTCTAGAAAACTGGCAAACTAATTAATGACTTCATTTTCTTATCATTACTTGGCTCTGCCCAAGTAAGAACATTGCCTTGAATGTGCAAGCTAAGCTGCTCAGCTGACCTGCTGGAAACAGCAAGATGCTGAAAACATGTCTCCCCTTTCCTAATCCTTCACCTACAAATTAATTCACTGGGAATGGCAAGAAAACCTAGCATTGCTCACACTGTAAACTAAAAACAAACGACATATTAAGAAGCCCACAGTTATTTCCATAGCGTAATCAAACAGCTGCTGTCACTACTGAGCTCTGACAACCAGCAAGCTTCAGGAAGACAAGACTAAAGCAAAAAGTCAGCGTCCCTCCATCCCTTTCCGAGGTGCCAGGACCGGGTACCTCAGTAATTCACTGAATAAATATCCTGCAGCAAAATCTTCAGCTGTCACCTTGCTTAGCAACCGGATTCGTACACCTGCTTTTGGGTGGAAAGATCAACTTTTTGTTTTCAAAGGGAAGAGCAGTCATCCTGGGCGCTCGCTAGTTTGAAAGCCTTCCCCCCAGCAGCGCAGCCTGTTTCTTAGACCTGCTTTCAGTAGCCACGCTCGCCAGCTCTGCCCAGGCCGAGGTGCGGGCGATCAGCAGACGGACGCGGGGCGGTGGGCACCGGCAGCCCCGGGCCGCCTCGCCCGGCAGGGCCCTGCCCGACCCCCGCCCTCC